GTCCTTGCACGGCCGGGCCGCCCGGGAAATAGGGTGACCCGGGAGGCCCGGTTGGTAGCCTAGCCAAAAACAGATAACAAATGGAGTTATATTATTAAAAAATACATATATCCGACGAAACGGTTTGTCACAGCCCCTCGTTTATTGTCCACTTCTCCCTGTCTGCCTACGGTTTACCGGGCAGCTCTGTTTGACTATATATCACAGGAACATATTGCAAGAATCACAAACACATATTACGAATATAAAATAAAAAATAAAGGATACTGATAGACTCTGCAAAAATGACAGTATCGCTCCAAGAAAAGCTCTGTCGTTTCGCTGACCACTTTTATTAACAGTCCACTTCCCTACCCCCACCCCCCCAGAAAAAAAGAGGGGAAAAATTTTCCCAGGCTGTCCGTTTCCAACAGGCATCTTTTTTTCTTTCAGGGGTGACGGCCTTGAGATATCATCATTCAACTGACCAACCCCAGGTGATTCAAAATTATTCTCTTCTGTTCATCTGATTGTATCTGGGTTCGAACTCGGGTCTGTATTTCAACAGACCATGGTATACCAACTGAGCTAGTCCCGTTGAAGAGTTTTTTTTTTTTTTTAAATAGATTGGACTTTTTCACAATAGAATTGAATAGATGTTGGCCATCCTTTTTCTTAAATAACTTGGACCTTTTTCTCAATATATCCTTCCAATTTTAACGGATGTCCCAAAGTACAATTTCCAAAAGATTGAACTTCGAAACGTTATGGCTTTTTTCCCCCTACATGTACGATACGTTTACGACGAAAACAGGGGCAGCAAAACACAGACAAAAAAAAAAAGGAAAGAGCAGAAAAGAGAACTGCTGGGAACAGAAGCACGGTGCACTTCGCTGCATATCAGGTAATGGGCTGTATTTTTGTCTGGCATTATTATTTCAGACAAAAATAGAGGAGAGGTACCAACTGGCCTAGCTCAGTTGGTTCACCTATGAACTGTGCAGGTACAGACCTGAGTTCAAATCCCGATAAAACTAGGTGACAAAAGTTTCCAAATTAACTGCGGCCGATCAGCTCAAAGATGATATCAAAAGGGTGCCGGCCTTTAAAAGGGAACGAGCAGGTGCAGCAAGCCTAATAGCATCAAAATGGACCTCCGATCCACTGCTCACCACATGCATAAAAGACAAATATGGCCGCATATTTGCCCATGTTCTGGCAGCAGACTAGTTGTCATTTTGCATGTTTGGTGAGTATTCTCATTTCGCATGTTTGCTGAGTAGTGGAACGACACCCAATGTCAAACATGCTTGATTTTCAAACAAACTTGGTGAGTATTCTCATTTCGCATGTTTGCTGAGTAGTGGAACGAGGCCCAATGTCAAACATGCTTGATTTTCAAACAAACAACAGCAGAAACCAGCGGGCACTGTTGTTGACGACACCTATCTGCAATTTCAAACAATATTTAACCTACAAAAATCTCCACTGACCTCTTGTTACGACTTACAAAACGGTTGGGGAACAAAAACAAAAAGCCGGGGGGGGGGGGGGGGGGGGAACGAGTGGTGGGCAAGAACGCCACGTCATCTTATTTATTTGGGTGCAGCTACCTTATTTCCTCCAATCTAACACCTTGTCATTATGAACGTATACATACACTATCCTGGCCAAATACAATCATGATACTAGGAAAATTTTCAGGGGAACAAGGTAGTCTGCTCCGATTTTGGGTCACGTGCTCCGATTTTGGGTCACGGTAGGTTGTGCCTTGAAGCATCGCTGTCATCTTCACCTCAACAGAGTGCACAGTCATTATAGCTGTATTTGGAGCAACTTGCAGTCTAGATACGGTGATAATGATGGCCTCTTCTATTCAGGTGAAGATGAGGAGTTCAACACGGCGTTCTAACGAGTTGGTGAAATTCTCACCAAAGAGTCTATTTTGTCACAGCCCCCATTATTTTGTCCTTTCGACCTTCTTCCCCTTCCACCTACAGCTCACCAAGTGGTTTTCAGGGACAACATATGTCTGCATCCATGCACATATATTGCAATATAGCTAGTCATATATTTATCATCAAACAAAGCTCCCCGGTAAACCGTAGGCAGAGAGGGAGAAGAGGACAACAAACGAGAGGCCGTGACAAACTGTTTTGTCCGAGTAT